CGTCAGATAGACAGCCTTCCTCTCCCACTAGAGGCTCCATACTCTGCCATCCCTGTCACTGTCCACTGTGTTGTCAGCACCCTCATCCATTCCCCCCTGTCTGCCCTTCTGGTAAATCTAGTCATAATATTTTTTTTTATTTTTAATATTGAGGTTTATTTTTTGTCTTTTGGTGAACAGGACTTTTTTAGTTTCATGAGGTCCCATTTGTCACTTGTTGGATTTAATGACTGTCCTACTAGAGTTCTGTTCAGAAAGACTTTTCCTGTGACTCTAAGTTCCAGTGTATTCCTTAATTTTGCCTCTATCTGATTCAGGTTATTGGATCTTATGTTGAGGTCCTTAATCTATTTGGAATTGAATTTTGTGCATGGTCAGATACAGGGATCTGATTTCATTCTTCTGCATGTCATTATTCACTGGGACCAGCACCACTTGTTGATCACGCTGTCTTTTCTTACAAAGAAGGAAGGACCTCATTTGTATTAGAATGTATGAATTAAACCACAGTGAGATAATGTTATCTTCTTATATGTTCTTAAATAAATAATCAGTAGGGACAAGTCTAAAATGTAATGATCCATTTGGCAGACACCTGCCACAATTCTAGAATATTAACTACCAATAGACTAAACTCATAAACATGATCATGTGAACAGTGGGAACAAAAACAAAAGAAAAAAGATTTTTATCAACAGCTGAATAAAAACACATTGATTAATTACTATTTATGGTTGCTAATTTTGGCACAAACCAAATGGCCAATTAAATTTTAACATCTGATCAGACTCTGGTATATTACAGATAGTTGGATAGTTTTCCAACAAGTATTGGTATAGTTCTTAAATGAACTTTTTGGCACTGTAACCATAAAACCACAGGTTTTGTTAGTTTTTCTACAGTAAATTCTTCAGTGGTTATTTTTTTAAAAGTAGGGTGAGACTGTTGAGGAAGATACTGATCTAGAATGGATTGACCTCTACATGAATGCACCAATTACAAGTGAAATATATAATTTTATGGCTAAAGCTCTCATAAAGTATTCTTTAAATTATAAGTTCAAGGTAATTACTAACAATCTCCCCTTGTCTTATAATGACTAATGTTTCTACTGCCAATATCACTTATGAAGGAATAAAAAGTTCAAGCATGAAAATAAAATAAAAATATTAATTTATAAATTAAAATGGAATGTTATAATTAACATAGCACTGTCATATTTAATCTATATGAAGACAAATATGAAGAACTTCACATATTTTTCTTTTAGTTTATTTGTTCTTTGGTAATTTTATACATGAATATAATATCTACACCCAGGATCACCCCTCCCACTCCTTTCAGACACCCCCCTACATTCCCCTACATTCCCCCTCTCAACTTTTCACATTTTCTAAACATATTGAATCTCTATAATGTTAACTATTAGTTCCTTTGCTATAAAGTAGGTAACTCTTCCTATGTCTTCAGCAAAATAATAATGTATTCTAAATCTTCAACTCTAAAATTCTGTAAGTCGTGGCATATAGAAAGAGGCTAATTAATATTTAGAACCAGAAGTTCAAAAGAAGCATGATTCAAACTCTGAAGACCTGAAAGTTATTTTTCAGTTAAGGCAGAAACCCATGAAAGTGAAATTTAACTGTATTATTGAAACAATCCTAGCGAACAGATCAAGTTGCTAATTTACATACTGTGGTAGGGACTGTAATACAAGGAAGCATGAAATGCAACATACAAGTGAAAATTTTCATGAAAACTGAGTATTCTATAAGCCACAGAAGTTTTATGGGAAATTCTAAAACTGTGAAATTCAGGGATCATTCATCATTTCTGTTCATGTTGGCTATTGATATTTGCTGCATTTGCTCTTGTGCCATAGCTACATTCAATCTTTATCGTGTCCAATAGTTTCACTTCAGTTCCTGGAAAACTGAAGCATAGCCCTCAGAGTGGGTTTTCATTATGAACATTATAAGTATGGCAATAATATAATATTCACCTGCATTTGACTATGGAGTAATTCTTTACATTACATAAAACACTATTAAGATAAACATAAACGAAGATGAAAAAAAGCTTTGCTTCCCTTCTGTCCACCTTCCATCATGCATGGATAAAAATATTTCTCTGAGAGAACAGTGTTAAATTTACATGAGGGAGTCACTAGGATTTAAAGATTTCATATTTCCTTGTTTCTTATGCTAAATCTGTTGTTCATTTGATTATTATATTATTTGCAATCAGTGGAAGGGGCAAGGGAACTTGTTTGAGCCTCTTCTTTAAGGCACTAATCTTATTCATGAGCGTGGCTCACATGAGTTAATTACCTAAGGCCCCTTAGACCCCCACACTGAGTATTAGGTTCCAACATACAGATTTTTTGAAGACATCAGCATTCAGACCACAGCAGTAATCAATGGTAAAAAAAAATCCTGCAAAATACATAATGTCACTAATGTAATTGAGACATCAAGGTTAAGATCATCATTGATTGATTGATTATTGATTTACTGATTAATTGATTTGAAACAGGGTCTTCCTATACCCCAGCTGGCCTGGAACTTGTTATGTAGACAAGGCTAGCCTCTATCCACCTCTGCCTCCTTAGTACTGGGATGAAAGGTGTGCACAACCATACCTGGCTCCTAAGATCACCTTTTAATGTGCTGTTGTTTTGATTTCACAGTGATAACTAGGAGTAATGTAAGGGAGAATCAAGACATACAAGTTTTGTTTTTTCCTTTTTTCCTTCCATAGCACTTCTTGAAATATAGGCAATACGTACCCAGAAAACTAAAAGTGTTTCATTTTAGTATGTATTAAAGAATCTGATATTTGGACTGGGGACATGACTCAGTGGGTAAAATGTTTTTCATACAAGCTAGATGACTTAATTTCAGATTTCCAGTAATCATACATACACACACACACACACACACACATACACACACACAAACACAGAACTTGAAATTTGAAATGTTCATACTGTAATCTAACAGATACATTTAAAATATAATTGATATTGTACTTTGGTGATCTTTTAGAAAACAATATGTATTAAATGTAGTTACATGGAACTGCACGAAATCACAGGATAGTGATAAATTTCTTTCAGTTGCTTGTTACCCCTGAAGAATGTCTGCACGAAAATACCTAGGATGGATTTTGTTCAAAACACATAGTTATACCCTGTAAAACCCTGCATCTTGAAATGTTTGTATTATTGAAAAATCTTAACTGTCTACCTCTGTATATGTTAAATGACACTGGCATCCTAAGTAGCACTGTTTTAAAAAGTGAGTAATTTTATTTTCATAGCACTGAGTGCGCTTTCTTCACACTGTGATGAATCTTGCTTTCTGTCTTTTATTTGCATAAGTAAAATCTTTATTTTTGCATCATCATGTATCTTTTCTGCATATAATTAGCATTAAATTTCTTTTGGCTGTGCAGGGCTGGCTATTTGCCTCAGAATATTCCTCTGGAGATTATCAGATACCTGTCTGAAGAGAAGGATTTTCTTCCTTGGCACGCTGCCAGCAGAGCTCTTTATCCTCTAGATAAATTACTGGACCGCATGGAGAACTACAACATCTTCAATGTAAAAATATATAATTTCTTCTTTATAATTTTCCAAAGCTAAACTATTTTATCATTATCCACTATGAGCAACTGAGTCTGAATTATTTCATTTCCTTCTGCTAGGTTTAGGTTATTATTTTTGTCCTGATTTTTTATGCAGTGCCAATGGCACTTATTTGAAGAAGAAATTTAACACAGGCTACCTTTTATTCTGGCCTAAAAGTGTCAATTAAGCTTAAATGCTTCAGAATTTAAGAGGGAATGTACATGGTGAATCCATAAAGTTCAAACTTACTTTCTGAGAGTTAAAGGGCTCTGTGTTCACAAAGGACTTAACCTGAGTAGCAGGATCCCAAAAAATTTACAGAATATAGACAGTTTCAACAAAGATCCGTAGTCATTATTTTTATCTGAAAGGGCATGTTGAATCTAATGCACCTCCTTAATTAATGAGGATAGATCAACATTGAGTCCAAAGCCCATCCATAATTGGGTCCAAGGGAATAGAAGGGAGCAAACAATAGATAATCCAAATAGACATGAAGGCATGACATACATTTCAAAATGGTACCTGATCAGATTTTTCTAAGCTCAAATCCCAGGAAACCAAAATTACACTGCCAACACCTCCTAATCAGATTTCATAATCTTTTTGAATAATTCCAGAATTAAGTATAGCTAATGATCATTTGAATCTTACATTTCTGATGTTATTTTAATGCATTCTTTTAGTTATTTTTAAGAACCTGTGCTGTGTTTTATGAAATCATCTGTGCCTTATGACATAATGACTCTGCTGACTAATATACACAACTGAAATAATTCAAAGCTGGATTTGATGGTATTAGAGTTGTCAAGATTGTGTGATATTTATCAGTTATCTTTTTTATACTTATTTGAAGACTTTGGGAAAGTGGCTCTGTCAACTTACTTTTTAAAATATGTATAATCCTGGCTTGGCTGTTCATTGCTGTTAGTTTTGCATAAACCTTAGCAATAAACATGTAAAGAAAAGAAATATGTCATTAGAGTTATAGTCTAATGTTTATCTGCTAGAGACTTAGAGTTCTCTTTCTTCCTTAAAAAGAGATGCTGTGCTATGAAACTCCTAAAAAGCAAAACACATTTTCACATATGTTTGTACTTTTGAATAGTGTATCATTCAGATTCATCAGTTGTAGTAAGAGTTAAAAAGTACATTTAGTATAATTTTAGTGCTTTTATTTCTTTGACAAAATTCAAAGATGATATTAAAGAAAGGAAGAAAATATCTTACATCGGCATTGATATTTAAATATATCATTGGTGGAATAGATTGTTGAATTCATTGGTTGAATAGACTGTTGAATTCACTATACAGATTCAACAATAATAGCCTCATGACTGAGCCAAGCTAGTATAACAGTTTTGCGTTAAATATCCTCTCCTGACACAAGATTCATAAATATTTGATGTTAGGGCTTGATGGATGACTCAGTGGCTAAGAAGGTTTCTGCGTTTTCAGAGGACTCAAGTTCGGTTCCCAGTACCCATGTCAGGCAGCTCGTAACTGTCTCCAGTGTCCCCAACACCCTCTTCTGGCCTCCTCTGGTACTCATAAACACACAGCATGCACACACACGCATACACACACACACACACACACACACACACACAAATAAAATTAAACTTGGGAGGCAGAAGCAGGCAGATCTTTGTGAGTTCAAGGCCAGCCTGGTCTGCAATGTGAGTTCCAGGATAGCTGGGGCTACAGAGAGACCCTGTCTCAAAAAAGACCAAAAAAAATTAATAATAATAAAAAAATAAAATTAAAAGCTTAAAATTGTGTTGGATGCTTATTTCCTTCAAGTGTATCTACAGACATTTGTATATATGTGTGCGTGGAATCCATCCTCAGCATTCCTCACCTTCCTTATTTTGTTAAAAAATTGTCCTCTAGAATAGTTCTGCAACTTGCTTAGACATTCAGTTATAAGAACAACGTCCTCTATGTTTGAAACAGTAAGTTGAATAGAAGTATAAGAAAGCATTACTCACCTTGTCTGTAGTTTTACAGATATTTAAAAATGGACACATTTAAGTATGCTAATTTTCATTATAGACTTCTAATTATCAAGATTGACAAGTCTGAAAATGATATAGCCTTTTTTTCTCTCCATGTAGGAATATATTTTAAAACAAGTTGCGACAACATACATCAAGCTCGGATGGCCAAAAAATAACTTCAATGGATCTCTTGTTCAAGCATCCTACCAACACGAGTACTGCCTCATTTTCTCATTCTCTTTCCTCCAGAGCTGTGCAATAACACACTTCTAGCACCACCGTGACTTTAGCAGCATGAGACTGCTTCTCTTTCACTCTGTATTTTGCATTTCACTCTTCTGGGAGGACTGCCACTGAGTAGCACAGTTTTTGCTGCCTGATAGTGAGAATAAAGCAGCTCATGACTATGTTTTAATTTAGTTTTATCTGCATGGTGATATTGAGATCAGAACCTGTGTCCTTCACTAGAGGACTGTCTGCAGAAAAGATTTAGTATGTTTAATTTCCACTCTGCTTAATTAATTTTCTAGGATTTCCTAATCTTGAAGCTCTTTCTGTGTTATAGTTTGCTTATCTACTGTATTAGTTACTTTCCTCAATGCAGTAATGATGTACCTGATAAAAGCAACTTGAGAAAGGAAGGATTTATTTTACTTCTTGTTTTTTGAGGATGCAGTCCATCATGACACAAATGTGTGACTGTTTTCCAAGTGGCTGATCATATTGTGTCAACATTCAGGAAGCAAAGATAAATGAACTATAGTGTTCAGACAGTTTCCTCCTTTTCCCTGAGTGCATTCGGGACCCAAGCCCATGAGATAGTGCTATGCACAATCAGGAAGTGTTTTCTCTCCTCAGTTAACCCTTTTTATAATCAACAGATATACCCAAAGATGGGCCTCTTAGGTGATTCTAAATCTGTTCATGTTGATAAAGGACAGAAATCATCACATTTGCTCTCTCATTTATTTATCTATCTATCTATCTATCTATCTATCTATCTATCATCTTCTATCTATCAATCTATCATCATCTATCTATCATCATCTATCTATCTATCTATCTACCATATCATCATCCATTTATGTATCATGTAGGCATCTGACATCAATATCTCTATCAATTCTCTATCTCTCTCTCTATCATCTATCTATCTATCATCTATCATCTAGCTATCATTTATATATCATCTATCTATCTAGCCTATCTATCTCTATCTATCTATATATCATCTATCTATCATCTATCTATCTATCTATCTATCTATCTATCTATCTATCTATCTATATCTATCATCTATTATCTCTCATCTATCTATCCAACTAGCTATCATCATTCTGTATCTACCATCTATCATCCATCCATCCACCCATCCATCCATCCGGGAAATAAATTTCCTTGGCTTTCTCCCCAGATAGTAATATTTTCTTAAATTTTTTCCCCTTTTGACAATGTGTAGAGAACTACGGAGAGAAGTAATAATGTTGGCATGCAGCTTTGGCAACAAGCACTGTCACCAGCAGGCATCAACACTTATTTCAGATTGGATTTCCAGCAACAGGAACAGGTAAGTAGAAACAAGTCCTGTATTTCCAATAGTGTTGAGTGATGCTTTCAGATCTTATTGGATGCATTCCATTTCTCAAATGGGAAAAAAAATAAGACAATAAAAATGCACAGCAGAATAGTTCCAGCTTCACAACATACAAGGTACCCCAGCCTGGAAGCCACAATATCCTCCTTTGGTAAATGTTTCTTTGGGTTTCAGACTTGACTTTCTTAATCAAAAAGATCCTCATTCTTCATATTTATTATGTGCACTTTATGTTCAATTTGGTAAAATTTCCTTATAAGAAGAAAAATAAAATTCAGCTTAAACTCTTTAAGACTTTCTTAAAAGTTGAGGTATTTATTCACTATTGTCAGTGTATGTTATCAGCAAAGTAGCAGAACAACTGTGCATATGAAAAACTAAAAACAAAGGTTAAGCGCGAGATCTTTACTCTTTCCCAGTGCCCCTTGACAATGACCTTAAACTTGTATCTTATCTTAGAATTTTATGATACATAATTTTAATACAACATGCAAAGCTAAAATTATTTAACAAAATTGCTTTAAGAAAGCCATTAGCTTACTAAATGTCAGGTTTTCATAAAGTTAATACTAAACACTTTTTACAAAACCAGAGAAAATTAGTTTTCTTATTGTAGTGTTTTGAAACTTGAAATGTATTTGTATTTCTAAAGCCTTCATGTTCCTTTTATTTTTATACTTTGGGCAGCTGGTGTCCATTGCTCCCTAGTGTCACACTTCCATGATTAACTAGAGTCTTGTGTGAAGAGAAGAGTAGTTATTGGGTGATTTGTACAGAAGATGCTATTTGTGTGTCACAATGGTCTTGGCCCTGACATAGGTAGTGGTGCTGACCATGGAGAACAAAGACAGATGTGTCTTGTTTTCAACACGGAGAGCTGTAACTGGCATAATTCACTTAAGGAATAAATTGATAATAGTATATTAACAGTTTTTGCATTTAAATTTAATATCTCACCAACTCCAAATCAAAGACTGGCTAGTCTGTTTAAAGGTCTCCAAGGGAAATACCTCTCTGAAATATTTAGTAATTCACAATATCTCATCTTCTATAACAGGTTCCCATTTGCCCTTTAAATTAATTGTTCCTGGTTTTATGCTAAGCTAAGAAGGAAAATATTTTATCACTATCATCTGCCAATTGACCCATCATGTATTTGAAGTCAGTAATTAAGTGTCATCAGTCTTCTCTAGGACTAAAGTTACCTCACTTTTAAACTTTGACTAGTGTTGGCACTAATGGTCCTTTGTGTTAGGCTTCTGAAAACTATTATATTAAAATTGTGTATTTTCTAAGAGCCTTCTCCCAGTTTTCGCCACTTCCTTCAATTCTTCCACCTGTATTTAGAACATGGAAACATCCAAAACAAAATGTAAAATTAGGGTCTGCATCATATACACATAGGAGGAAAATGAACTATATTATTTCAGCTATAATTGCTATTTCTAGTTTAGTTTTGTATTGGCTGCTTTTGTTCTTTTGTTTAATTTGACGGTAAGTGTATTCTCTTTCTTGGTCACAGTAATTGTTTTTAGCCCTCAACGAGCTTACTCATATAAACATATTCTTACCATTTTATTAAAATTTGCCTCACACCACTGTATGGTCCTGATCCTCCAAAGAGTATTTAGGCCCATTATCAAGATCTACATTCTACATATAAATGTTGAGAAAGTATTATTTTTAAAATAATTCATTTACTTGACAAAATTCCATTAAGTTTTTGTATTAACACTAACTGGAAAGCAAAAAGGTGATTTCCAAATTAATTTAAGTCACAGTTGTATAAATGATACAGTGTTATGATACTGTTCTAGGAATGATGTAGTTTTATTTTATGGCAAAGAATGAGCACAGGTCGGGTGAAGGCAAAGGAAGCTATTCCAGTTTAGAGGATGCTCATTTCCTCCTGGGGAGGATGAACAGGACTTTGTTAGTTGGGCTAGTCTGGACTACATGCAGGTTGGCTATGTACCAGTATGTGAGGTGGTGGATGGGATTCCAAATGGCACACACATAGGTTGCTGGCTATTTTAATAAGTAGTATTTTTTATTCATAAGCTTATGTAACATTACTCTCACAATTCCCTTATAAATGAAAGTTTATATATAAGTTGTCAGCTTACTTTGGTATTGATAACTCTGCCTTAAAAATAATTAAATGGGAGCCAAGCATTTTATGATTCTGTCTTAGTTCCTTCATTTCTTTTCTATTCTCTGCTTTCTTTTGCATTTGGACATGTAAACATGCTAGGTAGAACTTACTCTCTGTTTATGAAGATTTGCTTAACTAATCAGGTGACATGACCAGCATCACAAGTGATATGCTGCAGCCAGGGCACATGATATCCATTGAGCTACTGTGTGCGAACATCTGAGGCTTAATCTAAACTTTTTGGATGATAACTTAGTAATAGAATAGCAGCAAAATCTTTCAGTTAGTGCTGAATTTAGCTTCTTAAATCGAGTCAATGTAGTGAAGAACAAGATTGCTATCTTAAATGTGTTTAAAACAATAGGCCAGTCAGCTTTTTTTTTTCTCTCCCTCCGCCCCTTTATTTGACTGTTTAACTGGAACCTTAAAAAGAGTGATTTGCAAAAATTATCTACTGGCAGAATACTACAGGTAATATAATACTGTGTGAAACATGTTGAAAGATGTCTATTTATGCTGAAAACATAAAGAACGGGTTGTGGAAATAGCGGGAATTACAAACCTTGGGGGTGCTGCAGCCCAACGCAGCATCATCTTGACACACTGGGCATATGGGTGAAATCAGAGACATTGGAATCAGGAAAATGGAACAGATGTGAACGTCAGTGCAAGAAGGGATAATTGAACCAAGAAGTGCAATGAATAGCTGGGATGATGGCAGCTGAGAGGAAAAGGCAGGAGCTACAGTGAGTGATAAATTGAATGGGTCGACATTCTGATCCCTGTTAAAATATTCAAATGCTACAGTGTGTTGAATTGTAATGGTGATGTCATGCATAAAAATGGATTGAGCTGCATTCAGGTCTTGTTAGGTTGCAATTTGCAGGCTGAGTTCAGCAGAGTGCCACATTTCAGAGAGGAGACAAATTGCTAAGCCTTTAGGGTAGAACAATACAAATGATAAAAGATCTTGAAAACTTGAACGAGGAAAGGAGTTTGAGACCTGGTTGTGTCACTTAAAAAAAGAAAAAGAAAAAAAAAGAAAAGAAAAGACAATAGCTTTTTGTATTTTATAAAAAAAAAACATAGAAAGGGAGTTATAGTGTTTTTATTTGTTGATGCAAATAATAAGAAATACAAGTTTGTTTCTCTGAATAAAATAAAAGACATATATTATTACTACAGATGAATTACTATTTGAAAATCCGTGACCAACTCACAGTAAGGTTGTACCACTGGCCCTGTAGGGATCATAATACAGCATTATTTTGTTTTCTAAGCAATAAATTTAAACTGAAATTAAATGCATGCCCACAGTAATGTATTATTTTTCAAATAGTGTTTAGGACACAACAGATTCTTTAAGCCATTATAGAGTGTGATGTTTAACATGGTCATAGCTAGGCTGCTCAACCCGTATCATGTCAGCCAGTTTAATAAATCCCCTACATTATATATTCATTTATTTTGTCTTTTCCTCTAAAGCACTCTGAATAATATATAGAGATTTATTTGATAGTGATATCCTTTCCTAACACATGAACTAGAAACTGACATCTTCACTTTATTTTAAAAAATACCCCTAAACAGTACTAGTGAGGTAGCTTAGTTGATAAAGTGCATATTGTGCACATAGGTTCTACTTCCAGGACCCATGCATGTGACAGTGTGCTTTTTTTAATCTCAGTACTGGAAAGGCAGAGACAGGTGGATCCCTGGGACATGTTGGCCAAACAGAAGAGCATATTTGGTAATACCAGGCTCAGTAAGAGACCCTGCATCAAAAATATAAGATGAACAGTTCCTAGGAATGATATCCCAGATTATTCTCTGTTTTTCACATGCACACATACAGGCCCACATGTG